CAAGACTTGCATTGCCTACTAAGAAAGTTAGTAGCCGGTAGTCATCGGGTTAAACACACCCTATAATTCACAACGAACGATTCACGCACTTTACTACTACGCTTGACTCAATTGTCAGTCTCTAACTCTTTAATCTGCAATTATTTATATATATGCCATCACTTCTAGCTGGTCTTATATATACGAAATAGAGGGCGTCTGGAGAACACTCGAGGCTTCACGAACGGACATGATCTTTCTAGAATCTCGTGACGTGTTATTAGCATCACGTGACTTCTGCTGTCGTAACAATATAATAAACACATCAAAAACATGCATTAACCTTCCTTCCTTATTGGTATTTTGCATTATGTGCAATCAGTCAATGATGTTATTATATTGAGTTGTTTGATTTAGATTAATATTTTACTTACCTTTTCAGGCCAACTAGTGAAGATAGTAAATCAGGTGTTCCAGATTGGGCAGTGGTAGAATTACAAGGAGATTTGGAATCAAAAAGTGGTCAAGAAATGCATGGTTCCTTTGTTGGAGACTTACATTATACAAAAAAGGCAAAAATAAGTTTGTGTTTTACTATATTTATCTTGGATGAATGTGTTAACAAAATGAAAACGTTTTAGACTATAGGAAACAAAGTTTAGTCTTTGTTATTGGAGAATAGGTTACCAAATTCCTAATGCAGTATTTGAATGTGAGAGTTTAATTGTCCATTTCTAAATTGTAAATTATACTATAACACTCAAAGAATAAATTAAAATATTTTATAATTTAATAAACTGGTTGTTGTTACTGACATTAAATAAACAAGAGTATAAACAAAGTTTACTAATGAAGACAAAAGACAAGGATGGAAAACATTTTCTGAGTCAAACATTTCAGAATGCACTTTTTTCATCATTAGAGATGTCTGAAAACAAGGTATTAGTATTTTATTTACAATTTATGCTATCTTAGCTAAAAGTCCCCCAGTGGGACAGCAGCAAGTTTTTAAATTTACGATGCTAGAATCAGGGGTTCGATTCCCCTCAGTAGACACAGCAGATAGCCCGATGTGGCTTTGCTATAATAAAACACATACACTTAGCTAAAAATAAGTTTGCCACAATATTTTATTATTAATGTTTTGATGGTAATCTCTTATTTATTTCATGTGGTTATTCTACTGTTAATTTGTTCTGTTCATGTTTTCCAATATCTTTTGGATTTCACATAATTTGTATTAATATATTTCAGTACAAATTGTTTTAAGAACACTGGTGATGGAATAAGTGAATTCTGAAGCATTTGAACTCTTATAAATAAATAATGCTTGTCCTAACTACCATCTTTATCTTTATTAACTGGTTGTTGTATGAATGTATATGTTTGTTTTATGGGTTGAACTGTTGTAATGAAATTTTGCTAAATAATTTTAGACTTTTGAATTGAGTACATTTCATAAAGTACCAAGTAGTACATATGGCTTGGTTAAACTAAATTATAGACAGAATGTTTAAAATACAACCTTTTTTTTGTATTGTAATCCAGTTCTTTTCCTTTCTGCTGTAGGGTGCTATTTTAATTATTGGACACCACATCTTGTTTGGTAAAACTGTAGATGTGGATAAACCTTTCATTGTTCTACGTAAAAAGAATTCCCTTACAGAACACCATCATGAAGCCAATATGTTGAGGTCACAGAAATCTCTTGAACACACACAAGAAGAAGAAGCTTCAGAAGTATCTGTTAGTATTGAAAACTTATATGATAAACATAATTATTCCACTTATTATGAAGTGCATGCAATTGTTCGGAAGAAGATCTTATTCAAAACTCGGCCCAAGCCTATTGTTACCAATGTCCCAAAGAAGCTTTAACTTAAGTAATAATATACAGACTTAAGCTACAATATTGATTTTTTATAAGAATCCAGTGTGCACAGATAAGGAAGATGTTAAAATATGAGCAGCCTTTAGAAGCATCTGTAGAATATGCAATGAACATATATAACAGGGTTTTATATAAGACCACAAGTATACCAGTATGTTGTATACTTTGGAATTGGGGAAAATATACAAAATAAAAATATGTTGAATTTTTGAGCAATTTTCTGATTGTGTAGTAAATTTGGAATGTTTTTTGCAGATGAACTAATATAGGAATGAGGTTAGTACTAAACATATTTCGATTTTTATTATTTCAAAAATTCTGATTATTAACCCTTCTATTACCAAGTTATCAAAAAGAAGTACATTTTTATTTTCCACAAAACTTTTACTGAGAATAATTGCATTATAATTGTAATAAGAGACTGTAAAACATATTTTAATAATGAAATGGTATCTTTATACTCTGAAACAACATTAAATATGGGTTCATAATGTACTGCACATGTTGATAATAAAAAGGGTTACATAAACAATCTGGGGTATGGGTTGGCCTTGTGGTAGAGCTCAGGATTTCAGAACAGACAAACTGGGATGAATCTGTGAGATACCACAAAATATTACCTGCACTTTAAGCTGTGGATGTGTTGTAAGAGTGACAGACAATCTCTTATCATGGGTGCCATCCCTCTGGTCATTAGTTTGAAATTAGAGATGGTGGTGGATAGTGCCTTTGTATCTTTACCTTAAAATACATAACAGATTAGTTTTTATTTAAATGTTTTTTGAAATGTGAATGACTGTTAGAAAAATAAGTATGTTAATATGGAGTATCTTCAATATTAGCAGACTTGGAATATCTACATTGGAAATAATTAAAACAATCTTGGTAAATTGGAGCAAAAGAGTAAAATAGTTACCAGAAAGTTTAACTTTTCCATTGTTTGCTAAAAGTAATCTTGCTAGTGATAAACAAAGTTACACTTGTGCACTGCCCTGCCAAAAGTATCCAGATGTAGTCATAAAGGAAAGGGATAGTGAAGTTATTACTTCTTATAATTGTGTAATACCACCCTTGTTCTGTATTTAGTATTTCTGCTCTGTGATGACATGTTCTGAACTTGTTTCTATCAAGCATGTGATATCATTTGTTTCAGTTGTTATTTCAAAAGCTTAACCAGTTGATGACTGCAAAGCTGTAGTCTAGCCTTTCCAATTAACCCCTTTGGATGGTCTCACAAATGTTTTACAAGGTTTAGAAACTGGACTCTAAATGTGCCATTCAAAGATTATATTGCTACGTTGATAAAGTGCATGGGTGTCACATATTTTGTGGCAGGGAGCATTATCCTGCTGGAATAATACATTGGTCTACTGAATAAATAAATCCACCACTTGTGGCCTCTAGACTGTGTTAAGAGCTATTAATGTACATGGGCATTTTGACAAGCAGATACTTAAGAAAATGTAGACCTCAGCATAATACCCCTACCACATTTCTCTTTCGTTGGTTCAGTACAGTCTGAAATTGTATCCAATTATCAAGATACCAGTAATGTTAGGTCTTATATCAAATGGTAGTAGAAAATGAGATCAAATACCCCCTTGAAATTATTCAAGCATTCTTAAGTGTGGTGTGATGTTTGTGTAACTCAACCCATTCACATGTAGCCACAGGAATACAGTACAATCACTATGATATTACGTACAAGACCATATCTAGCATTCTTTTTCACAACTCTAATAAATAGACATTCGTGTTAATGTGTTTTTTTCCTATGGTATTGAATGTGACCAAATAGTATAGTTTTTTTACACTTTCAATAGCCTGTACTATTCTTTTGAAGTTAATGAAATTCAGAATATTTATGAACATTGCATGCACTTCAGCACTACTAATGTACTTCTCTGTTGTGTAATAATGCTTGAAAATGGCTTGAATGAGTAATGAAGAAAAAACTTTAATATAAGTTTGACATAACAGCAAATGTACAATGTTTTGACAAGGTTCTGTTATCATCAGGTACAATTTAATGATGACAAAACCTTGTCGAAATGTTGTACATTTGCTGTTTTGTTAAACTTATATTAAAGTTTTTTTTCATTACCCATTCAAGTTGTCTCCAAGCAATATTAGTCTCAAAGTGGGTTCCTCGTCATCGAATTCTCTTGGCTGGCCATGCCACATGTTCAAGGGTTGGCCAGATATTTTTGGCATGGCAGTACATATAAGTATATATACTTTACTAGACATTGTATTAAATACTTTTTAAAATTAGTTTTGTTCCATATTGAAATTTGCAAAATTGAAAAAATTCTAGAAAATTCTTATTTGCTGATTTGATTTTTTTCTTCAGTGTATTTTCTAATAATAATGTAATCATATATTCAATAAGTCTTTACATTAATAATGCATTTTTTTACTTTAAGGTAATTATCTAAAATGATCTAGTGCCTAGTGTAAAACAGTAGTAATAAAAAAATATGCAAAGAGTTGCAGTGTTCTTCATATTAATCAGATTTGTAATGAAATACATGTATAACATAAATCTACACACATGATCAGAATCATATGTTTTATAAATACATATTAATAACCTTCACACAATATGCTTCCTCAATAATTTTGTTTCTATGTCACAGTTAATGATCAAGGTTTGATTCTTTGCAAAATTGTGTAAATGCAAAAAACCCTTGGTCTCCAAGATTTAAAAAAATTATAAAATTTTAAGTTGCATCAATAATCATTGCTGCTAAGTGTGTTTTCATGAGAAACAGTAAGAATTTACTTTTACTGATTAATCTTGCGATGAAGTTTTACTACGTATTTAAAAACTAACATTTTTAACATAAAATACACACAAATATCATTTGTTGTAATATTAGTTATTTCCACTGCTAAAGTGCAGTGACTGAAGCTATCAAAATGGAATAAATGTATGATACTAATGAAAATTAACATATATTGGTTGACTATATTTATTCAGGTACATGTGAGGCTTGTGGGAAACAATCTTTATGTATCTTCTATCTTACCAAAAGTCCAGACTGTGAATATGAAGATTTGTGGTTTGCATCCCATTACTGCAACAAAAATGCACTCCACATTATTGGGCAGTGGATAGGCTATAAGTTTTCTGTTTCAGATGTTCAGCAAACTTACAAAAGGCATATCTGCACAAGCTGTCCCTAAGTTTGATAGGCAAGAAGGGAGATGCCTATTTAACTGCTCCCACTGCCAATTCTTAGACTACTGTAATCAAATAGTGTGAATTCACTGTGTAATAACCAAGCATGTCATATTATTTCCACAATCTTTAGCAAAATAAGAAGTTTTAAAATTTTTCATGTACTTTGTTTCTGGGAAATTTTGACAAATACACGTGTTCCAAAAAATCATTGAAATTGTTTAATTTTATTTGCTTTTGTTCTCTGAAGCAAATAATATCTATTCTGCCTGATGGGATATTTCAGACAGTAACACTGCACATCTGTGTTGAAAGGGTCACCAACTGTAATGTCCTATGTTGGCTGAATGGATGATGTGTGTATGTTACAGTCAACAAATGCTGTGAAAGAATGACTAGTCACAATGTGATATTTCCATAAAACAGGAGAATCAATATTTCCTGTATCATTATAGAGCCTTAGTTCTACCTGGCTATCGTGTGTTCTGCTGAGATTCATTTCAGGAGACAGAAAGTTGTTGATTGATTCACAGGTCCAGTAGAGGTTGTTGTTCACTCATCTATGCAGGTATGCATTATGTTTTTTCACAGTCTTTGTAACAAAAGGTGTTTCAATTAATGTTTGTGTCTAACCTCTTTATTTCTCATAGTTTAAAATTCGGTTGAGGTTTCATATTCAAATTATTCTGTAAATTTCCTCTCTAACATGGAATAAAGTATTGGTGCTGTTTTATAGTTATGGACAATTGGGTATCCAATTGTACATTAGAATGGTTGTAGGTGCATTAAATGAAGTGGAAGTAACTAATGCGAACAATAATTTTTGGGTTGCATCCTTTGCTCTGTGTTAAAGGCAAGTTTATAACTCTTAGTGCACCTGAGATCATAGGTTGAGAATTTTTCGAACACTCTAGACCCAATGCAGCAGAAACAACTCAATGACTAGTTGGGGTGAAAATTCAATGTATTTGTGGGATCAGATGGCCAATTCATTCAAACAATGGTGACTCAACATCACATAGATATGGGTAAAATATGTTTGATAAAGCAACTGTGCCAGCTTTCCTGGAGCATTAGGGTTGTCAGCAGTCTGAAATACAGTGGATGTTGGAGGACAAAGCCATGCAACCTTAATAGAGTGCTTTGTCATCTCCTGTTGTGATTATTCAGAAAAAAGAAGGTATGCTGAGGTTCTATGTAATTTCAGACAGGTGAACATGATAATTCGTGTTGATGCCTTTCCTTTATTGCATGCAAACAGATGAATGTATGGATGTGTAAGAAGTTTCCCATTGGATTTGGCATGTGAATACTGGCAAGTCGACATGGACAACAAGAACAGGCCTAATACTGCACTTTTAATACAAGAAATGGCTTGTATGGATTCCACCATATTTAGAAATATAGGTTTTTTTAAATGTTTTGTTTTGTTAGTTTCTATGCAGTTTTGACATAAACATCTGGTTTAGAAAACCACTGAAATTGTTTCATTCTAGTTTCCTTTGTTCTCTGTAACAGATAATATCTACTCTGCCCAAGAAGATATTGCAGTAATGTCACACATCTGTTTCAAAAAGGTCAATGACTGTAACATATCCTTTGCTAGCTTAATAGATAATATCGATATGTACAGCAAATGAATGCTGTGAGAAAATGACCAGTCACATGGCAATACTATTACAAAACATTCACATCGAGACCGAAAGCTGTTGCTCGATTCACAGGTCTAGTGGAGGTGATTGTGTACTCATCTATCAACTACACTTGTAGTTTTTGCTTTGTTTGTAATACTGTTTCACGTAAAACCCCAACATTTCTCACATAACTCAGTTGAGTTTTCAAATAAATAATATTCTATCAATTTCCTGTTTGATCCTGTTATTAAACAAACTTGTCTAATATTTGCGTGGATTCGGGGAAGGTTTCTTAATTTTGGATAATAGGACAAGTAATCAATGGAATAAGGGAAGAGTTTGTATTCAGTAGTTGATTCAAAGCATTTTCGCGGGAAATATTGTAAGCTTTGTCAATTTGTTTTATCATAGTGTTGTGGTTATAACCTTTTCGCCATAATATCTTTTTTTTTTTTTAAGAAATTAATGTGACTTTCATAGTTCTTACTGTCAACGCAGATTATCTTGAAACTGAGAATAATATTACGTTTAGTGCAGCTATTGTGGGCTATAGGTCGGTTTTTGGTCCAGGTCAGTGTTTATTCAATCATTTGTCAGTGTTAGAATCTGAATAGTAGGTCTGTGTATCAAAGTAATCCAAAGTGAATTTAATAGAATTATGAAAGAAGTTTAGATGTCTGTAAAATAATGACAGGGAATCTTCGTTTTCTACCCAGGTGAAAAACATACTATTAATGTAGCATCTCCAAATTTTTTGGTTCGTCTTTGTAACTTTCTAATAATCTAATTTCCAAGTTTCCCATAAAAATGCTAGAAGAACTGAGAACGTTAATTTCGGGCCTTGGTGTAAGTATTTGCAAACTCGGGTACAAAATAATAAAACTGGCGAAAAGTTAAAAAAAACAACAACAACAGACCATTGAATAAGATAATAATTTGAGTCGATAGTTAGGTATAAAGTCTTTAACAGAAAATCCTGATTAAGTAATATTTTACTATTCTAAGTATATGTTGAGAAAAGGGTTTTGATTCGTGATTTATATTTTAGTATTCCAAATAGAATTGTTTTAAAAGCCACATTGGGTTATCCGCTGTGACCACTGCAGGGAATCGAACCCCAGAATTTGGCGTTGTAAGTTTGGACACTTCATCCAATTAAAATTAAATTTGAAGATTATTTTTCTGGTTATTTACTGTCACATCAACATATTTGGAACGAATCAGGACAATCTTTTAGCAATGTTAGAACTGACATTAGTGGGTTAGCCTTGACTGCTTTTAATAACTATAATAGTAATTACAAACATTTAATATCAGAAGAATTTGAAACTTTACAAATCTTAGTAAAAATAATAGCAATGTTATTTCTAAGTCAGATAAAGGGAATAGTTTGTTATTTTAGATAAAGATGAATATTTAAGAAAGGCAGAAGAAATTGTAAGTGATTCTACTAAATTTGTGAAACTTCAATATGATCTACTGATAAATGGGAAACTAAATTACAACGATATTTGCTAGAAGCATAGTTTGGGAATATTAGACTATCAGGAAGTCAACGAGGAATCTTCTATAGGTTACCAAAAGTTCATAAAGCAAGATGCCCCTTACGACCAATAGTATCCAATATTCTATTACCAAAAGTTCATAAAGCAAGATGCTCCTTACGACCAATAGTATCCAATATTAAAACTTATAATCAGAACATCAGGAAGTCAACCAGGAATCTTCTATAGGTTACCAAAAGTTCATAAAGCAGGATGCTCCTTACGACCAATATTATCCAATATTAAAACTTATAATCAGAACATCAGGAAGTCAACCAGGAATCTTCTATAGGTTACCAAAAGTTCATAAAGCAAGATGCTCCTTACGACCAATATTATCCAATATTAAAACTTATAATCAGAACATCAGGAAGTCAACCAGGAATCTTCTATAGGTTACCAAAAGTTCATAAAGCAGGATGCCCCTTACGACCCATATTATCCAATATTGGAACTTATAATCACGCTTTGGCCTGATTTTAGGTAGAATTTCTAAAATAAGTTCACCACAAATGAATACACCTCATAAGACAGTTTAAGTTCTGACACGAAATTCAGCAACTGAAATTTGATAGTAATGTTTAATGTGCCAATTTTGAGATTGAATCATTATATAATAATATGTCATTAG